ATCAATTTCAGCAAACAATAGCTAGTAAAGGTAAGCCAGAATGATTTCAGAATGTGTATTGTGAAACAAGTACATATCCTAGAAACCAATAGTTTCGTCGACTACATATATATATATATATATATATATACAGGCAAACATCACTGAATTAATTCATTTCATCTCATATTCGTACTGCCCAGACATAGTTTAAATCCTAATCGAAATTAACTGACCATTATTTAATTTTGTACTTGTTCCACAATACATCTTCCGATACATTTCTAATTTACCTTCAATGACTAGAAAACAGTTGTTCTCTCTAATTATTCATGTCCTGGATAAACATATTAGGTCTATTTTAGGATAGCTAGTATACATAGCGGTGATTGAAGATGGTTAATGTGTACAGCGATCAGACAGAATTCAAAAACTGGCAACCCCACCAGCCGAAGTCATTTTCTAAGTTTCAACAAATGAAGCATGTTATTGTCAAACAATAATTTGTTATTCGGTATATAAACATCTAGGCTGTATTTATTTTGGGTACTAATATAAAGATTTTGTGTAAAAGTGTTTTAATCCAAGCGACAATAATTAATTGTCCCTTTACACAGAAAGTTGTTTCATTACATTACAGCTATATATATATATATATATTTATATATATATATATATACCTTCATCAGTTTAATATAAGCACTGGCTGTAGCACAAAGCCAAAGATAGAAGTCCATCGTTTTTAACACACCCTAAGGTTTTGAAAATGGAAAAGATACGAAGGTGCAGAGGTAAGTAACTATTTTCCTATCTTAATTTTCACGATGAACATTTACTTTAATAAGTCATCCTTAAACAGTAGTCTAGACTCAGAACAAGAGTTCAATAAAGATTGCAAACAAAATTTCATCAATTTAGTGTAACTTTATAGAAATCTAAATAAAATGCTTCTTTTAAAGAAATCGCTTATTTTGCTGTTATTCCAATGAGCGACTTTGAGATGACCTCTCTCTCATGATGAAGAATAGTTTCTTAATCTGTGTTTGAAATTCAAATAGCGAATTTCTTTAACATACGGTAATGTGCTATGATTCGCAGACTGCTAATGATACAAAGAGTGACGACTGAAGATGAGAGAAAATTTTTTTTTAGACTGAGATTCGAACCAGAGTCCTCCAGATTGCTAATAATCAGTGACTCTGGAGAATAAACTATGACACTTAAGTTTTATGAAAAAGAGAAGACGTTCAGCGAAGAAACTCTTTTCGCCGGCGAATTCATTCACATAGCTGTACAATCGCATTTATATATAATTATTTATGTGTGTATGTACATGAGGTTTGTCAAGTTTAGATAATTGATCAGGTAATACAAAGATGATCTAATATAGAAACAAGGTTGATTAGACAGCAACTAAAGTAAGATTGAGTTAGTAAGTTAATGACGTAATATAATTGTCTAAAATGTTTCAATTTAGGTCAGGGTAGCAACAGAGGCAATTACAGGTAGAGACTAAGTAGAAGATAATAATGCCATTTAAATTAGAACTAAAATGGAGCAAATAAGTTGGATGACATAACATAAATGACTAGAAATTGTGAGCGTTGGTCAAGTCAGTAACAGCGGTAGTGAAGTGTAGAAATTAAATAGGGTGGGATAGAGAACAAGAAAGTTGAAAATGCAAAATATTACAATTGAGGAGACAAAATGATACTAATGAAGAAACAGAAGAGAAAAGGACTAGGTAGAATTTACTTGTCGGGTAATAAGATAGATTAAGTCCATTTAAGCTTTTTCACCATCATTTATTGTATAAATAACCGTCTTTAAATTGCAAACAGTCACACCAAATATAAGTAAACTTTATCCAAAATTGATATGCACTAAGATTTATCGGCTGGTACATTTAATCGAAAATTCAGAAACATGAAATATCGTTCGTGACTAAAAAACACTACAAGGACCCTTATTTCAAGGGTGACCTGAGCTCTCGCGTCTGACCAGTTCTATACATGTATATATCAAATCACCTGTTATCGTTATGCCAGGTACATTGGTCACTAGACTCGTATCCAGTATATGGGGTGAACGAAAATTATTCCGCTTAGCTGCAGAAAGCTAACAACTGTGGAATGCCTCTATCTGTTACAAGAAATTCCTTCTTCACATTGATCTTTAACGTAGTGACAAGCCTGGAAAAGACAACAGGCTTTTTTCGTCTTTGTATTCCTGAAGGTCTGTCCATCCAGATTCAGAGGAGCTGACTGGTTTACATTAGCAAATATGTTTATGAATATTAATGTCTTTAAATATTCTCCTATTTTGTGCAATAGGAATTGTGTGCAAAACTTACTATATAGCTAGACTAGATCAAGTGACTGAAAAAAGCCTCGTTGATGAATTACTTGTTTTGTTCTTCAACAATGTTTGGGTAGTTCATGAATTAAAACTTCTTTCTATCGAATTTAGCATGATAGGAAATGGCAGATGATCTAGTCACTCACATGACAGCTGTATACAACCCACGATAGTTATCATGGCGTTCACTTGATCCTTAATCACCACCCATAACATGAATTCTTTTTAACGCTTCACATTATTTTTACTATGTATCAACAGGATTCTTTTTTTTTCAACACTTCTATATCTTCACTATCACTGTAATTGTCTGTATTTTTTTCAAGCGTTCTAGTGTTTTCACGCTGACCAAAAAATAATTCATTTAATTGGTGAAATTCAAAATGCTTCATTAATTTCCATGTTAAGAGAATATCATTCCAAGATAAGGGGAGAAAGTCCAACTGCCTTCAATTAGGAACTTAATTTATAAGAAGTGTTTATCAGATGATATGAACATTTTGTTAGAATTAACAGATTGCTTGATTTTGGGTTGGGTGAAGAAAACATCTTTGGGTTTGCGTACAGCAAGTGTGTAAAGGTTCCTAACCTCATTTTATGCTATAATCTGCGTCATATGAGATTCTCCATCAGTGTTGTTTTCCAAGGAGAACTTCACTATGTGTTTTCAGTACAATATTTATGAGAGGTAAAGGCAGTTCTCTAAGTTGTGATCAACAGGTTCCTCAGGAGTCTTTTAACAAGAATGTATCACTTCTTTTCCCTGTTTCTAGACTTATATATTGCCTTTTTTAGTAATGATAATAACCTGCTTTATTCCAAAATAGTAGTATTTATTTTATTTTATGTTTGATTATAGCTTGATTCCACCCAGTATTTTTGATACAAGTATGGAATTTTCAGCATGTGATATCGGTAGCTCAAAATTTGCAGGCCGATCATAGATATCAGGTGTGCGTCGGCGGGAGATCGAACCTCGGACCATGTGCATGGTCAGCGAGAGTCCTAACCACTGTGCTACCGACGCACAGTGTGTAATTTTTAGTATTCGGTAAAGTATAGCATCTAATTTTGTCGAACAACATTAAAAACAATTATAAAGGTAATATTACAAGATTGTTGATAGCATTTCTTATTTGATATTAGTAGTGAAAGTAAGGTCAAATACTTTGTTTAACCTCATGTGAACCTTGTTTAAGTTTCCCATGGGAATATAACGACAGCAATAACTACAGATAATTGCTCAAGTCTAGTAATAACACAATTTATTTTTTTCTGTCTTGTGCGAATGGAATGCTTGATTGCATAATGGAAAAATTAAATAGTTTTTTATCAGCGAGCTTTCAGAACCTATCTAAACTGACCATGTTATTCTGTTTCAGTCAGAGCTGTTGAGGCGTAGACATCCGGACGGGGTCTTCGTAATTGTTCAACTAACTTTCTGTGGATTATCGAAGGCCAAAGATGAGTGTTTGAAAGGTCTCGCATGAATTATACAGAATAAACGGAAAAGTATTTTTCCAATCTTAATTTCAACACAGAATTGCATAAAATCTACTCATTCCCTTAACTGGGTAATGGACCCTGTGAATAATTATATTTAATTTAATATTAGAAATAAAATCTAAGGCTGTTCAGTTCCTAGGGATTAACCATATCTATAAAACATGATTCTTAGTCTCAGATTTTCATCATGTTTCATCAAATGAAATAACCTGAAAAAACTTTTATTTTTCAATCATTATTCAGCAGATTTCAACATGAACCGCTACTTCACTCCAGTGACATTTGTTTTACTCTGTTTTTAAAATACACCGATTTCACTTCTATCTAATACCTCAAAGATGTTTTCTGTTTTGGTTATGTTCACCTGTAATATTCATTTGTTCTGGGATGCAGGCTGATGAGGGGAAAGAAAGGATTTTTGCCATTGAGCACGTGCTAAGACTCTATGGATCTTTTTAAAAGTCACTTATAAACAGTTAGTTTTTTTTGCGCTGTGTGGAACTGTTATACTATCAGGTAGTTTACAGCCCTATGAATGAACCTCTATATCCATATTATTTGCACTGTGCAAGAATACTTCTAAGAATTTAGTCAGCTGTTCTTTGATACTGAACAGAATTTTTTCGTTTCTGTCTCTTCATCAACAAAATTGAATTTTCACAAAATCTAAATAAACCCAATAAAAAGAGAAGAAAAATTTCCCTCAGAAAATGCATAAAGACGCATAAAACATTTGAACAGTTGACAGGAAAACAGATAAACCTATAAAACACCAACAAAAGTTTCAGGTATAAAAATCCATTCTAACATAATTTAGTTCATTGGTGTACTTTACAGCTTTTTCATAAATGCATAAAGATGAAGGATACAGCAGGCAGTTTCAAGAAAGGTAGGAAGTGAAGAAACACTTTCACAACTCACATAAATATATTCATGAATTCAAACTGTCTTCAGTCTTATCTTTTACAGCTAATTTCTTTAGTGGTTGTATATATATGGTTTGTAATATCCAACCAGATCGGCACAGAAATGTTTCTGAAGTGCGACTAGTTTAATTTCGTGTGTTAATCAACATATGCTTAGTATAATTTAATTCATTTACTGTGAGTGTAATGATTCTTGAATAAATGATTAACTAATTGATCTTTTTTCATTAGCTTCAGATGCACCAGTTTCAAAATCAAGACGTGTATCGCTTAGATCTAAACGGAGTTTCGATTATTCATTTGAACTATGGGATGAAAGCTATTTTGCTGTGGAACGGAAGGTAAATTTTACGATTTTCATTTAATGTGAATTATGCTATGAGTTTTCTCTGTTTATATTATAGACAAGATGTTACACTGAAAATTTATTTTAATTTTTTTTTTGTTTTCACTTTGCGGTAGGCTTGAAAATTTCTAACGCTTAATATCTTTGTTATTATCGTTACGCATGCAGCCACCTTACTAGACACTAAAAATAGACAACTTTATCGCTGAAAATCTTGTGTTCGTTATCTTGACCAGACAGGTGTTCATCTTTGTTTACAGTAAAAATACATCGCCCCTTCGTTTCTTTCCAAATCAGGTGAATATCAACTCCATTCTACCCCGAAGTACAGATCATAAAGGTAGTTGATGAAATATATACATATCACAATTAAATAATTACTTCATAAATAATTCCATACGACACATATCTGCATTCGTATTGATATATTTCTAATGGTTCAAGCCACCGGCATCATGAGAAAGCGTCCTTCGAGTTTGAAAGTAAATCGCAATTCACACTCAAGAAGTAATTTCTACCTTTATCAGCTTTATCTATTTCTCTTTCCCTTTAAGTCCTAGGTGAATATTTTCAGTAAATACACCTTACCTCCAAAATTTACAATACACAGTAGTTGGTTATTCGCACATCTCACATGCCAAAGTTATATTTCACCACACAATTGTTTTCGTAAATCCAAAATATTCAGACAACAATATGTGAGCTGACTGACATAGTAAACAACATTAAGAAAGCAAACAAAATATGCGGCACCACACATATTGCTGAATAATATGAATGGTTGGAGACTATTCACATCAATAAGGATTACCTCCCAATCAGATCTAAATGAGCTTATCACTACCCATATCATTCAGTTATATGCATGTCTCTTCATATTTCGCTTGCTGTCTGGTACCATTTATAGTTTCCTTTGGTACAGTCGTTAAAGGTACACAGACGATGAACAGATGATAGGGGCTTCAGCTAAACTCAGTTAACAAAACAGTTTAGAATAAATTATCACTGACAGTGATGAAAAGTGTTTCAAATTTAACTATACAGAATCTGAGACTAGATTCTACTGCACTAATCAGAATTTCTGAAGGTCCTAAACAACTGAGTTTAATCTATGGATTCAAGTATTTACGTTTGGCTGATATATCAGAATTGAAAATAAAACATCATTTAGTTTAAGATACTTACATTAAAGTCCATGAAAATAAAAATATGATTCATCTCCAAGTAATAAACTATGTATGATGTATTGTATTTGGGCCTGGTGCACATATAACGTCTGCATTCATGATATATCAAAGAGAACTATACTCTACCACTGCGTCCAGACTGTATATTTGCAATAATGCTACTTTTCTGGAACGTAGTAAAATGAACTATGGAGAGAGTTAACACGGTTCTATAAGAGGTAGGTGGTACATTCCTAAAAGGTTTATAATAGATATTAAGTAAAATTTGCTTCTGACCCCTTAGGTATTATTACAAACACATAGTAACGATTTGTCTGACTGCAAAGGGAATAAACTGTAACTGATGTGGGACAATTCAAAAGACCTAATAAGATGTTTTGAATTGTATGATTTAGTATTCGATACTAAAGTTAAGATGTATTTCTTGTAAAAGAATATGCTAAAATCTTCTGTGGAAAAAGAAGGTTCTGCATGATAGAAATATTAGGTTTTCACGAGCATGGAATGATAAAAATCTAGCCCCTTGTGAATAATGTCTCTAACAGTTTTGCACTACTCTTGTGTTTAAATTTTAGATATCTCAGCTTGAAGGTTTACACTACGCAGCCTTCAATACAAATAAGCAAAACCGACCAAATGGGCACGAACTGATAGACCTAATAGAAGATCAGGGAGTAACGTGTCTAGACGCAGATAACCCAGATAAATGGGTTGTTCGCGCTCATCGGTCTCTGCAAAAGATGGGCAGTTTTCAACGAGAGCTTAAAAAAGAAAATACATCAAATGAATTCCAGTCAATAGATGAAAATGAAAGCAATGAATTTTTGGAGTCGTCAGAATCTGTGAAACAGGAATTCCAAATTAATAATGAAGAAACTAAGAGAATCGGACGAGTTCCAGCTGTCTGCCTAACACGTCACTTAAAAAGTGCCCAACGTGGAAAAAGAAACCCTAGAGAAGCTTTTCGAGAAGATGTTATCAGTTTCTCAAATAAGCAACAGGAGGCACGAATGAAGATGAGGTGATTACAATATTTTATTATAAGACTTAATCATAATCTAAAAGATGTTTTCCCATAACAACATATGTCTCTTAATAATTTAGAAGTTAAGAGAGTTTGTATAACTTTTCAATTTAACTAACTCCATATAAACGTTTACCATAGGCATTTCATCAAGTCTTCTTCAAATAAATTATAATAAGCAAACAGAACACTTGTTTCTTGTAATCTACCAACGCCCATTATTATCGAGGGGAGAGAATAGTTAAAGATATTTCATCGCAAAAGTGCTTAATAAGCTCAGTAAATGAAACACGGCATATCACTTGTTTTGAAAAGCTGCTTTAGTTAGATCTGTACTATTTACGTATAATCACAAGACAGAAGTACAAATTATCTATTTACCAATCATGCCTGTTTAAACGAAATACATTATACAAAGTACTCAAATTGAAACAGCTCACCAATTACTGACATTAAACAGACAATCACGACTGATGCACCGGATAAAGATTTCACTGAAAAGAATTCCCATTGTTGCAATTTCATATTTCTGGCTGTGGAACCATATTTATACATCGATAGGAATATATAATGCCAAGTATTTGTGGCGTGTAAGTTTTACAGTTGTAGTAATGTATGGCTAATGTATGCAAAAATACTGTCCCCGAGGATCATGAATAACAACTCCATTAAGATGATTCATTAAATGAATAATAGCTTAGATGAAGTGTGTAGATAAAACTGTTACAAAGAAAGGTTACATTCTCAAACATTTAACTTATAAATGCAGAAATGGTTAAAATGTAGTGAGGGGATGACTTCACATAATTAAAACTTTAGTAAAACTGGTGATATGATAACTAGAGGGCATATTACATTATTAATGAAGTTTGTTTATAAGCGACGCTAGAATTCCATCAAAGTAATAATTAAACATTTCAGTATGTGAGACACGCTCAAAGTGCTGGTGTGACACAAATATTTTGTTCACATCCGTGTTTTCTATTGTCATTACATAGGTATTCAAGGTTCTGTATGTTTCCGCAAATTTCTGACACACTTAAGCTCAGAAATTAGAAATTTGATCTGACAGTAGAAACCTGAAATGTTAAATTACATTAAGGGTTAGTCTTTCAGTGTAAAGAACAGCCTAAAATGTCATTCTTCTGACTCGTGAACTTGGAAGTGAATAGTTGAAAATAAATTAAAAATTAGTTAGCTGCCTTCCTGCTGTTACAACACAAATATTTCCATAAATACGATTATTAAATGCGCCAAAAAATCTGAAGTCATTGAAATGTTTTTGTTCTAGGCCAGTTAAACCATTATGATCAAATATGAAGGTAAGCACACTACTGTTTTATTCTGATATTCACACAAAACCCCTACATACACCATTATTTTTCTCAGAGTACACGTACATTCTGAAATATATGACAAATAACTTTTATATTTTCTTTAATTAGCGTTGTTAAAGTGCCACTTAAGATATATTCTCAGAAACAGCCTCCAATGTTTGTCAAACACACAGTTCTAAAAAGGACAAAACTGTTTATGATGTGTTAACACCAAACATTGAAATGTATATTCACTGAAAACCACAGCCTTATGGAAAAACTCATTTTATACTATAAAACCAACAACAATTTCCATTATATAACTGTATAGGTGATTTTTCATTTCATTAACACTTAAATATGGTTAACCTTAAATCTACTGACTTCCAGTTCATCTGACAACATAATATAGCGACACCAGCAATAATCCTTTTGTGCACAAATGACAAACAGCCTAGTAGTTCGACATGAAATGTCCCTAAATTGTCCGTTCATGTGTATTATGTCTTATGAGACCTTACTAACCTACTTACAAAACACGACACAATTTTACGTGGAAAAGATAAAACTTTTTATTGGAAAGCTAATAATAACTTTCACTGACATAAATATTGCAAAAGCAATTTATGACGAGCAATGTTTATATGTATTCTATGTTATGATCTAAACACGTAGAAACATTCTGAAACTGAATAAATCAAGTAAACTACTACTAGGAGTGAAAAGAAAGTTCCAACAAGGAATGTTCAAATGCATGAACTGGGAATTCTAGCTGTATTAGATATTTTTGTTATCGACCACTCTAATCAAATTATTTGCTCTAACAGTACAGTCACTGAAGCAAAATAATGCTATGGGACAAATATGAAACAAAATATTATGAGTAAATTTTGTTTTGATAAAGACTCACAGTGTTATACGGTAATGTTTACTGATGACGTTTCGAGCACAATTTATTGCTCATAATCATATCAAGGTAATCACACGACTTCCTAACTTCATTCATATAGTTCCATTGTTTTTCACTTGATTCGATTGGTAGTAGTATTTTCCATATTTCAGGTATGAGTGATGAATCATTCCTATTACATGTGTTTGGTGTAGACTCGATGAACAAGAATTCAGTAATCAACCTCTCTCTCCACCTACATAGATTACTTTTTAGAATTCGAACCCTCTCCCACCCACCCTATTGTGTGGTTGGGTGTTAATGCATCCATGCACCGCAATTGCTGAGCTTTTTTCTGAATTACTTATCTTCTCGGGGTCAACCATTTTTACCTTAGCTAAATTTTTATGTTCTGACAACCTGACTATCCCTGAGCTTGGCACACATAAACTCACTAGTGGAGGGAATAAAAGTCACATTTGAATCGGAAAATGAACACGAAGAATTACCTATGTTAGATTCTAAAATAAAACGAATAGAAGAAGGTAAACTGCACATTAGTGTGTACAAAAAACCAACTCATTCTAATAGATATTTAGACCTCTAATTCATCCCATCCGTTAACTGTTAAGGCAGGCTTAGTTAAGTGTTTAACAAACCGAGCAGTGGCACTAAGTAGCACAAGAAAAGACCTAAATGATGAAATAAAACAGATAGAAGAGGCGTTGGTGTTAAATAACTATCCTTTAAAATTCATTAGGAAGATCAAAAAAGGTCGAAATAAAAATAACGGTGAAACTAGTAATAATAACACAAATAAGACAGAATATAAGTCATCTACAGTTATACCATATAAAGAAGGGGCATCTGAGACCCTACGTAGGATTCTAAATAAAGCAGGAATTAGGCTGGTGGCTTTTAAACCTACAAACTCACTCAGAGACAAGCTCTGTACGTAGTCACAGGACACAGTGGACCCAATTAGACAAAATAATATTATTTACAAAATACCCTGCAATGACTGAGTTAGATCAACTACATAGGTCAAACTAGTAGGTCAAGGGTAGTCGGATTGTCAGAACATAAGAATTTAGCTAAGGTAAAAATGGTTGACCCCGAGAAGATAAGTAATTCAGAAAAAAGCTCAGCAATTGCGATGCATGCATTAACACACAACCACACAATCGAGTGGGAGAGGGTTCGAATTCTAAAAAGTAATCTATGTAGGTGGAGAGAGAGGTTGATTACTGAATCCTTGTTCATCGAGTCTACACCAAACACATGTAATAGGAATGATTCATCACTCATACCTGAAATATGGAAAATACTATTACCAATCAAATCAAGTGAAAATCAAGAGAAAAACAATGGAACTATATAAATGAATTTAGGAAGTCGTGTGATTACCTTGATATGATTATGAGCAATAAATTGTGCTTGAAACGTCATCAGTAAACATTACCGTATAACACTGTGAGTCTTTATCAAAACAAAATTTACCCATAATGGAATTACACTCTATCACAGTGAACAAGTTTTGTTCATATATCAATGAAACAGGACAGTCTCTGTTTTTTTCATGTCTATATAGATATAAAGCAACTAATCAACAGACAACCCGTTTGGCTTGAGTTTAAAGTGTTTTTCCCAATGCAGCAAATTAAAACATTACTTCCCATGAAAGATTACTGAATTTGCCATATTTTACATAGCTAGAAAATAAGAATGGGAACATATAATAAGATTTCATGTTTTTTAGTTGTTTAATAGGTTAGTCATCACATCTTGGCTGTTCATTATGCATGCTATGGATCACATGACCACAAGCATCATGCCAACGTAACATACGTTTAGTAAGATGTTGATATTTCTGAAATGTAGGGATCAGAATTCAAATTCATTTCTAAAAAATGAATTACTACCTGGTGAATAAAAGTTGGCAGTTCAGTCTTTCAAAGCAACCGATTTAGTGATTGTATTACTGCAGCTAGTTAACAACAACAAAATGAAGACTGTACACTTTCACTGTATTTTCTTCTTTGCGAAGATTACCATTTATAAATATTTTTCACAACAGACGTGTTCACGAAATGCGTTTTGTAGTGAAAAACACATGAAGAAATTAGTTTCCAGAATTTTAATTTGAAATCCACACCTTTTTAAGTATCACGTAATTACTTTAAAAAAGTGGTAAAAGCGTTTTGTACACAATTTTGGAAAATTAGGAACCATGTAATTTCCACTAACACCTTGTCATTCTGAATGAAAGCAGTATTTTTTCACCAAAGCACCCTCCGTTCACATGTTGAGACAAAATTACTGAAGTAAAAGTTATTCTCAATTAAGTATCAAAACACACCAAATGACTCTGCTTGTGTTTAAATATTATGGTAGAAAATACCTCCACCAACTTGAAAAATCCGTTAACCTATGTAGCATTCCGAGGATTATAAACTGTACCTATGATACGAAAACCAGTGTAAAAGTTATATATCGAACAAAATAGGTAGAAGGTTTTTAATAAATACTGTGTTGTTCAGGGCTGACTGGGAATCGGAAGCTGACTCACCTCCGTTCTTGTAGAGAAAATTTTATTAGTCTTATCCGATTTGTTATTGAAAAGACAATTAGGCACCACCATTATCACATGCAACCACATCCCTTATATTTTCCCAGTTTCCTTGTAAATCAGGCTTACATTTTTCCCAAATACGAAACATTTCATATAATATCTATCTTAGTATTGATTCTACCGAGCCTTCTTTTTTGTTTTTCATAACACATTGTAAATAACATAATTCGTATTGGGGTTTCTGTTACTACTGGTAAAACTAACAATATTTACTTAAAAAATAAGATACTATACATAACGAATTTATAACTTCTGGCTTCCAAGGACAGAAAAAGACTACTAAATGCATAGTAGTTGTGAACGTGAAGTGAAACAAATTCATAAATGTGCATTATGCGCTATAACAAACGCATTTACGAACTTAAGTTAATTACAAAAATGAGGATTGATATGTAGCGCTGACAGTGAAGGAAGAGAAATATTCACTACTTTTATGTGTAGAATACAACTAAAAGAAATGTCAAGATTGATTCCTTCATAGAAGTTCGCTAAACCTTCATGTTCTGATGACCTAAATGACCTCAAATGACTTAAGTTTTTTTGGCCTTACAGTCATTTCAACGTTTTCACTAAATTAGATTGAATTGACGGAAACGATCAGTTGATCCTGAAAAAGTGTACCTCAGAATTAGCAAATTTGACAGTGACAACAAACCGTGCACTACGGAAAATAATTTACGAATATTTCCCAAAATTAAAGGTTGTTGGACCAAAAAATATATATTAATTTCTATACATTTACGATAATTTTACCTCCACATTTTCATTCATTTTTACATGCTGTAAATATAATGTACAACGCAACATTTGTATGGAGTGGTAATTAGCGCTACGTCAAAAATGAGTCTGTTAACAAATTGTCCGAGTTGTGTGTTTGAACTGATTTTATAATCACTTCGCCTCGTCTACATATTTGCAAATGAGTCTGCAAAATCTCTGCTAAAAAAGACAGCTTCACCATAGTTATTTGTAGTAGATGTTTAAATATACAGATTTAACAGTACTAAAAACTTAATAAAATGTTCACATAACTTAGTGGTAACGTTTCCGACTGAAACATTTAGCGCACACTACTGTTGATAAATGCTTTTAACATCAAATTTAGATTACGCCCGGTTTTATTTTGAATGAATTTAAACAAAGAATATCAAAAGTGAAATATTTGATGAAGTGAAGCAAAATAAATGTAAACTATTAGGCTGATGAAAGGTTGGCTAATCTCCTTTGTTCAGTTTAAGTAGGCAGAATGGAAGCAGAATAGAATGAGTATGAGAATAACGAGTACAGATGCTTATAAGTCCTACACATACCAACCATCTGATATTTCTTCTTCGCTGTGAAGTATCTGAGGAAAAAACTAGAGAATTCTTTCGCTTTCTTTTATCTTAAAAGACAGAAGTCATGGAATAATGTAGATAGGCAGTCATTGTATTGGTGGAGTTGAACGGTGGAGTAACTTCACAAATCTTCAACTCAGAATGAATTAGAAAGCTGGTTGACTTTTCCTGAATTTCTGTATTTGGTGGTGCATGTACAAAGACTATATGCAACGATATTTTTGGCAAATTTGTTATTGATGACGTCAATCAGTCTAGTCATTTGATAGTGATGATGAAATCAGGAAGTCTAGAAGGCAAAACAAAACTTATGTGGTTGGTCCACGATATTTTTGTCTTCAGCTGAGACGCCTACTCCCTTTTTTAACTGGCCAAATACTCCTCACTATACCAAATGAAGCATAACTTATCATAATTGTCCACACCACAATTTACTGCAAGTCATCTCATGTTCAGTATTCAGGCACGGAAACAGAGTGTTAGTTAATATGCTCAGGAGTACAAAAGAAATCCAACAGCATTTTCTATTCTTGCTTGAGGAAATGCTAGTTATTGCAGGTTTTCATTTGATTTGTCAGATCCACTAGCGCGAATTGATTGAATCTATGCTTATTATGTCAATAATCTTAAGGAAACTCATTTTTAACATAAATCGGGGTGTGAAGCAAACTGTTTAAGCGTTAACACAGGATACTGTACTTACAGAACACTTATCAACAATATTTCGAAGGTTAGGGTTAGGTTTTAATTTTTCCCTCTGATGATTTAAAATGTGAGTGTTCGTTTAAGTGAGCCGTCTTTCTAAGAACTTTCCTATTTAGGCGATAATTTTGGTCGAACAATTCTAAACATTTCTTAGTGAAGTGGTTAAGTTCTTATCATACCTTTTTGGACAGTTGCATGAAATTGTGCTTTCATCATGAAAATGACGCGTATATAAAAATTAGCTTCACACTGCATGCTTTTGTTTCTTTATAACACAGGTACGCATTAACTGAACTCAGCGACACCGAAATCGAATATTCACGGGCGTTAAAGCAATTAGTAGAAGTATTTGATTCGCTAAATGGAAAAATGATTGTTAGTCAGTCAGAAAGTTCAGAACAAACCACAGATTATCCACAGATGATCAAGAATGACATCGAAGGTCTGAAAACAACTTTGAGAAACATTCTTCAATTTTCTGGGTAAGTAAAGAATTTTATGTGAAATTATTGGAAACTGAAAAATCCGTTTTGTTATGTAAAGGAAATTATAGCTCACTAGTTTACTTTTATCGCTACATCTCACGGTTCAATGGGTTATTTCAGATTTTAGTAGTATTAAAAAGTTTATTCGATTAAAAATATTTTTGTAACAATGTTGAATAGCTAAATTTTCCTGCTGCCTAGCCCTGTTTAGCTTTGCTTTGACTCTCCTTTAAACTGGCAACAGTAACCCTAGAAGTCATACTATTCACCATCAAAGTCATTTGGCCTGGTAGTAACTAGCGGTGGAATCAATGGTGAACACGTCGTTCCATTTCGGGACTCGTCATCTGGATGACTGTAATCCCAATAGGTGCTGTTCCCACTGCATCCAAGGTTTCAGACATAACCAATCAAAATGACTTCACGTTCTCCCCTAGACGTCACCAAAGTGTGGTGGTATTACAACAAAGACTGGGCATTTAGGTCAAAAAAACTAATCTACAGAAAATTCTAATTATTCTTAAAACTTTACTACTTGACCTTGTTTAGCACAAATGATGATCAGTAGGGTACAAATGATACAAATGAATTACTGACTGGATGGGAACCAATAAAACTGTCTAATCCTCAGCTTGTAGATCAATAAGACATTTGAATCTCGACAGTTTGTATCATAGGAAAATTTACGTGTTAGTGACTTCATGTAATTTTCTAGAACACATCAAGTCTAAAACAGTTAGTTCCCTTTATAAATTTGGATAGCGTTATTATAAGACGGAGACAGACTTAAATCTGTAAAGAATCATATTAGTCTTACATGCGACGAAGAAAGTCGCAACCAGCATGCATTTTTAGACATACTTCTAAGTCGAAGAGATGATGGCTCAATAAGACGACCAATCTACAGAAAGCCCACTTAGACAGGGCAGTACCTCAATTTTCACAGTTTCTGTCCATTAAAGTAAAAGAGAGGCTTGGTGAAGTGTCTATTCAAGAGGATTCAGCGTATTTGCACAGCTGATGTTATGGACAGAGAAAACGAAATATTAATGGATACTCTTGTTGAAAAAAGGATATCCTTTATCATTTTTAAACAGGTGTAGAAGTCAATTAGTCTATCATATCCAATTAGTCTCTAAACCTACAATCTACACCGTCCCTAAGAAAAATATCTCCATCAAATTGCCATATAACGGGGAAATAAACAGTAGGATTTTGAGACGAAGTTTGAATTCGATCATCTGTAGAACCTATTATGCAGCCCAGGTTGTAATTGTGGAAAAAGCTAAAAATATGCTCCACTGTAAACCTCGAAAGTGCACAAGTGATTATTTCACATCCCACACAATTTACCAATTTTCGTGTGTGCATGTGGTCACACATACATAGGGAGGAGTAATCGCGCTTTGTATGTAAGGGTGGGAGAGCATATCCCAAAACGGTTAGAGAAACAAATGAATTGTGAAAAGCCAATAGATGCAGGTGTCTGTAGCTAAACATCTAATCGAGATGAACCATAAGATTGATGTTAACTCAGCCTCTAGGGTCATCTATAATAACGGTTAAGGGCGCTTATTGAAATACGCCGAGGCTATAGCTATTCATAAACTTAAGCCCCGACTCCAGTATAATCAAAAACAGTTTATCATTACTCTTAACCTATCTTGGTAATCCTTATTTGATTGGATTACCAAACGTTGTGTTAAACATTCTTAAATCTTTTTTGTCACTATGTTTAATTTAACTTTTTCATATATATATATATATATATATATATATATATATATATATATATATATATATATATATATATATATATATATATATATATATATATTGACTTGACAAGTAAATGTGTGATCAGATTGTTTGAAATGTATAACGCAAATACATCAAATTTTTCAGATAATCTCCGTCTTCTAATAACACTATCCAAACATATCAAGTCAGTGGATTCAACATGTCAAATGACAGAGCACCTAATTTGCGATAACCTAGAATAAGTGTTATACTGTATTGTAAATTATTGGAGTTTGCAGGCCGTGGCCGATTATCTTCATAAATCATGACTGAGTAATGACATACTTTAGTCGAAATAGAAATTTTTTAGGCTTTTAACGGCATTTTATTCAGTTCGAAATTATCATAATACCCATATTGAAATAATTCAAATTCATCTTCTGTTCGAATGGTCCTAATGATTGCAGTTTAATTTAACACTGTATTCATACTCATATACTCTATGGCACAAAACTGTGTAGAAAATTTCAACTCTGTAATCCTGTAATTTCATGGTAAAAATGCAGTAATAATATTCATAAATTTGAAAAGAGCGAAGATCAACCTGGATATAAATTTTATGTGGACAAAAAAATCAAATCTCTATGAATTCATACAGACCTCTGCAATTCGTGTTGATTGGTTGGAGGATTTCATCATGAACTTATGTCAGTTAGCGAACCATTGCAAAACCTAGGAGTACTGGACAGCTGTTTCATCCTAATTTGAAACTGTTTCTTCAGCAGTACGCACCCACCAGTTTTCGAACATAGAACCTTCTGATTACAAGGCGAGCTCGTGGACTATTACGCCACTGCGACCCAATCTATTGGCCCATAAATGTTTTACTTCTCCCCATTCACGACATAGGACGACCACTTCGCAATGTCTTCTTCGATTATGAAATCCTCCAACTAATCGAATAAAATCCCTACAATTCCAATACTAGAAAATTTGTTTTGAATCAAAAAAAAATAGTGACAGTGTGTTTATTCTATACAGATTAGCTTGAAACATTTACTTATATAGTCTCAAGGTCTAGTGTACTCTAATTTAAGCTTGTAAGTAAAATAAAAATGCAAAGTTGAAATGCTCACAAGCAAAAAAGCAAAGCAAAGCTTCAATTGTAAAGACCGCCGGAATAATATGTGTCCACCAAATTGTACGTTTTTCATCAGCAAATTGAATCGCGTAGACCAGCGTCTACTGATGTTGAATGGTAATTCGCAGGTATTTCCCCATCACCAGTCACCACTCATAACCTCAATATTACTACGCAAACTCGAAGCTACCTCAGATAATAACATCAACATTTGTAGGGTATCAGTAGTCCTTAAAAAATGTAATTATGTTGCGAAGATTTAAACGATTCAAACAAATAAAAGAAAACCTACTAACTGTGATAGAGAAATAAGTCTAAATTGTAATGACACTTAAATAAATCAAGAGCTTGAATATTATTTAGGTATATGAATCTGTTGCCTCATTTATCGACGACCTGATAAATATTGAACAATGAACATGTTCTAATTCGACTCTACATTAATTCATTAGCTTATTCTCCTATTTATGCATTTATAATTAAGCATCACTTGTCTATCATTATATAAAAATATAGTAAGTGTATTAGGTATATCTGGTTAGAGTGAATTAGCCAAGCCTACTACTTATTACTTTAGTGCCTTGAGTAAACTGCAATTCATGCATCGCTTTTTCTAACGAATATACTCAATTGTTTTTCTGTTCACTTTCAGTACTTCAGGCTTTTGTGCAGCTTTGTTTATCTGTTTGATTTTTCTTATTTCAGTATGTTCCTGGAGAAACTGCCTTTGTATGCTCTTGAACCAGGGAAATCTGCAGAATGTTTTACAAAAAATGTAAGTTAAATTTAACGAAAAATTAAATTATGCTTTGTTTTCAAACAACTGCTTGCATTTTTGTTTCAATTTACCTAAATGGATACAAATTTATCCCAATGCATCATTTTGTTCATTTGTTGGACTTAAAAAGTTTTCTCCTTTTTGGTACATAAAGAGGAGTATTTCAAGTAATGGGAGAAAAAGTTACACCCTGATCACAGAGCAAAATTTAACTCGCAACAATTGTTAAAATTAAAAATTATTGCTTTTTATTCCCCTTAATGAATTTGAACAAAGCAAGAACTACAGTTTTAGCAGAATAAAATGGTACCATCTTTTATTTCGTTGCCTTCTCGTCAGCTGCTTACATGGCAAAGACATTATTAAATATATCTACAACAACAATTTTAACATACTTGCACAGAGTTCAGTTTAAACAAAAATCAATCGATCAATATACTCATACACTAAAAATATATACATATATAAATATGCAATATTAACCACTATTCCGAACAATAATAATCAAACACAATGGAAACTTTTAGCATTTCACATTCGGAGGAAAGAGAGGTGAAATTATCCAGTTACCAGGGCAAAGAAAGGCTGATAACCGCTTCTTTCTGGACGCATAAATCAGGTTTCAGGCGCTTGATGGAAATGGCTTCAGCAAACTTAAGGAGAATTGAGCTATTTTGCTTATTGATAATTTTGAACGACTTTTCGACGTCCACCTCATGACCCGTGTCGAGAAGATGCCTGGTGATGGCACTGTTTAAAGCATTTGTTCCCTTTAGACGTAAGCTTTTTGGTACATGTTCAGAAAATCGTAGATATGCCCTTCTTTCTGTCCTTCCAATGTAACTGCTCCCGCAGATACATGTAAATTTGTATACACAGTTGGAGGTAACATGAGAAGGATATCTATCGATTTTTGATTGCACCAAAGAGCAAGTTGTTCGATAGACGGGAACGAGCTTAGCTGCAGGATACGCTATGGCTAGTGATGTACTCAGCCTTCTGTTGATCATCGCTGCAATATTTTCACCTTTATAATCAAGCTGAAGGTAGACTGGCTTTTTTTCCACTGTGATTTGTTTTACATTTGTGACTTCAGATCTTCCATACTTGTTGATGAACCTTTGAGGATACCCATTTCTCTTCAATATATTTTCAAGGAACTCAAACTCCTCCTCTAGTTTCTCTTTAGAGCATATTCTCCTCGCTCTATAGTACAAAGTTTTGACTAGACCACGTTTAAAGCTATGTGGACAAAAGCTATTAAAATGCAAGTATTGTCCTTTCCATGTGGGCTTTCGATAAATTGACTTTTGAAGACTACCGTCTTCTAGGCGTTCCATGGCTATGTCGAGGAAGTGAAACTTTCCGTCACTTTCGTGTTCCATAGTGAAGTCAATATTGGCGTGTGCACCATTGAATAATCTTAGTAAGTGTGAAGCATGACTTTTATTTTTGCACACTATAAATGTGTCATCAACATAACGACAGTAGGAAGATGTTTCGTCGATTGCATGCTTCAGCTTTGTTCTTTCAAGGTTAGACATGAATATATCTGCTAAAACAGGGCTAAGTGGACTGCCCATAGCTACACCATCTATTTGGCGGTAAAACGTGTTGTCAAATAGGAATTGCACATCCATGGTGCACATAAGCAGTAGGCGTTTGAATTCAGACTCTGGGAGTGGGAGAAGATCGGACTGCTGACAGATGATTTCAATGGTTTCATTGACTGGAATCATTGTGAATAGGGAGGTTACATCAAATGACACCATGAAGTTATTTAGAACGTTCATGTGATTCACACTTTCAGAGAAATGAAATGAGTCTTTCACCGTGTGCACGCCTAGCCGTTGACGAATAGGTTCCAACTTCTCCGCAAGCCAACGTGCCACCTTATGTTGGGGCGAGTTGATCATCGAAAGTATGGGTCTCAGGGGGACTTGTTCTTTGTGTGTCTTCGGAAGGCCATACATGTGTGGCAAGCGGGACCCTCGGGTTTCAAATCATTGTACGTGTTGTTGTCAATCAATTTCTTCTTTAGAAGATCTCTCAAGGCGTTTGTGATACGTTTTTCGACTGCATCTGTCTTATCTTTCTGGCAACTGTCAACTTTAAATCTCAACGGGTCATTTAGCACAGCTTTCATCTTTGCGATGTAGTCCTCTTTGTCCATCAGCACCACACCTGAGCCCTTGTCAGGTCTCAATATAACAATTTTGTCATTATTCTTGAGAGCTTTCAATGCTCTTAGATGCTCTTCAGAAAAGACTTTGGAATATGACATTGGAGAAATGAGGTATTGATTTGCAACGTCGACGAGCTTCGATTTGAACCAGCTCCTCTTGTCATCATCAACTGGAGTGAGGTCACTCAACTGATAGAATAAGTTTTCGAATTGAACTGCGACATCAGTTCTTTCGACAAACTTATTTGGGATGTGAAAGTTAAATCCAAGAGAAAGTGCTTCCATTTCAATGCGATTTAACTTCAGACTCGACAGATTACAGATAAACTCCTCAGGATTTTCTGGGAAAACGTCACACAATTTCTCCTTTGTCAGGGATTTCGAAAGAGTTTTGTAAAAATTTTCACATGTTTTCTGTTGAAGTCCTTGGATGAAATTGATGAATTTGATCCGACATACTATACTCAAACTATTGACGACGCCATCGAAAGAACGGGCTTCAGTTCTCAATTTAGAAATCAGAGATTCTGTTGATTCAATATGTGATTTTGTAATGCGTCGGAGGTTCTTGAGAGATGGGGGTAATTTGCAAGAACGCAATGACTTCATGAGATGACGAGGAAAGCAGTGTGACCGCAAGCAGTCATGGTAAAACTTCAAACGAGTCACCTCTCTTGATATTCTGCACCGAATTGTCACCAAACGATTCAGTGATTTAAAAGATTCGCCAGGGAGGCGTTTTTTTCAGAAATTATTGCAATTACAAAGGCACTGTTAGCCGAATATGATTTTCCTTGCCAAATTAACTTGTATTTAATATAGAATAATCCAGAATCGGTTTCTCGCTCATCATTCATCTGATTTATTTGTAAAATTCAGATGATTGAATATTAAAATTCTTAGCAGCAGTGAACATGGAAAATGTTAATGAATTTGGCGACAAATGTTATGCAAAAACTGACCTAATTTACACGACAAATAGGTATTTCAAAATATGGTTATAAAAAGTTGTTATGCAAAAACATACAAGTATTTACTCAGATATTCCCACCTCTAAAAATAATTTCCTCGACTCACTCAAAAAATCTTTAATCGCCGGAGATTTAAACAATATCTTGTAACGTGATTATTGTGCGGAACAACAATTATGACTTTAAAGACCAATCAATTTCACTACGTAAACACACTGGTGATATATATGTTCTGTCCGTGCCCTTATGTGTCATGTCTTTGAATAAGGTTTGGAGTTTTGCATGAAGAAATCAGAATGAAAACATCCCGGAAAATGTTGTGGCTAGGAGTTAAAAACTGTCACTAGTGTCTGTTATATCACTTCTCTTATTCTGTTCAAACTATGCAGACGAAAACTCACTAAATAATAACAAACATTGTCAAAACTTCTTTGAGAACAGGACACAAAAAACATTATCAATTTAGCTACAAACAAATTAAAGAATTCATATAAGGTGAGCACGCATTTTCACTTCCAAGTCGTGAAACAAGTCTGTTTAGACATATACTATGATAGAGAGAAAAATTATGAGTACAAAAGCTGCCAGATCATAAAGTAATAAAGGTATAGGAATCAATTAAGAAAATTTGGAAAGATGCAGTCTTTACATCTAGTTTAGTTTAACATTGCCTATGATACCCAAATGAAAGTTCCACTAGGTGTTATTGAGAAATAGATCTATATGTGATTAATTCTAAGAAATATGGGAAAGGAAAACCACATACACTGTGTTCATTTCACTATAATAAATTATAACAAAACAGTGAATCACACAACCTATAGTTATTTTCTTTATCATTTAAAGGCATACTTGAAAATCCATTTTATTCTAAACTTGTGGTAATAAATTTGCAACAGTATTTAACAAGTGCTGTTAAATTTGTGACTCATCATTCGTCATCAAGATGGTGAAAAGCTGACTTTCAAATTTCTTTCAGAAATTTCAATAACAGTACTATTAAATGAAGCGTACGCATATTCTGCTTCTCAAGAAATATTGAATGAGTTGACACTTAAACCATGTTTTACTTATTATTATTGTTCCCTTGGGTTCCCAGTGAAACATAGGGCTTCAACTGCACGCCTCCACTTGCTTCTGTCTTCTGCTGTACTTTTCACTTGCATACATGTTAGTCCATATTGTTTCAACTCCTGTTCACACGATCTCCTCCATATCATCATCCCTGCATTGACGACCCACTCACCGCTCCGCTTTCGGGTTCCACTCGAGCAATGGCCTGACACGCGCGCGATGTCACCCAGTGGCGGCCTCCTCAGCGACTGTCCAATCCATCTCCACTTTCTCCCGCATATTTATTGGGTGACTGGTTCTTGTTTTCTTTGTTCCCATAGTTTCTTGTTGGTGATTCTTTCCGGCCCGTTCATCTGATCTTCAGTATAGAGCCAGCGAAGACAGCTGTTGATAAAGGTCTGGTCTGCAACAGGCTGTTGGAAATAGTGTTTGAGACCCGCCCGTCAAGTTTCTGATCCGTATAGAAGAACTGACTGACTTGACGTTTATATTGAAAATCCGACCGAATTTTGTTGTTGATGATGAGTGACAGCGGAAGATTTCCAGATTGGTTCCAGGTTGACGAATGTGTTTCTCACCTTCCTGATTCTCGCTCGATTTGACATCCTCGTCCGTTCCAACTGCCTGTAGTTGAGACAATGCTCCCTAGATAAGTGAGTGAATGAAGTGACCTCTTTCAAATCCCTCCCGTTTACGGTGATTGGCGCTGGATGTTGTTGCTGTTGTTGTTGTTGGTTGGTTGGTTATTTTCATAACCTCCGTCTTGT